CCTGATAAGGGTAAAAAGAGAGTGAACCCGCCACAGAAATCGGTGGCAACCCGACCTATTGATGATCAGTCTGCTAACTCTTCCGAGAGGACTCAGGCTACTGAGGGCTACCCCACCAATGCTGAGGACACTGCCGATGAACCATCTAGCCAGGCCGTTACTACCAACAAGGCTGATGGTGAGGCCTCCGATAGCATGGCCAAGAAGAGCAGAAATGATGATGACAATGATGACATGGAAGGAGTTCTGATCAGTAACAGATGAAGAGCCGGAAAGAAGGCCATTCCGATCAACTCCGACACTTCATCGGACCAAGAAGAGGCTGCCCACTCACATCGACCTGCCAAGGGCATCATTATAAGTGACAAATCTGCATCATCAAAGCCTAAGAAGAGGCTCAGAAAGAAGAGCACAGTGGAGCTCGAGATGGACGTTTATGATGAGTGCGACACGTTCCTAAATATAGGCCGAACCACGTCCATAGGTGCAGGAGTTGACCTTGTCAGTTCTCGGGTAGAACTCGCAGCATCTGGTTCAACTGCGCATGCACAGCCATCTCCCATCCACTCTCCAACTTCCCAACAGGCTGGAGTTTCAATAACTCAAAGGGAATTTATACCGACCTCACTGGTCTCTTCCGGATTAGTCGAGAGACTTAGTGGTTTACAGCCCCAGACCACTACCCCCATTCGCTCTATCGCATCGAGTCTAGGTGTCACCATTCCTACATTTTTGAATTTTTCTAGGACACCTACACTATTCACAGCACATACAGGTGCACACACCCTGAACGCAATGACCGGAGTGCAAACTATGATGGTCGGAAGCCCTGCTACGCCAACAATGACACCATCATTGAATGCAGGCCACACATCAGCTATCTTCACTGATGTTGTGACAACAGTTACAACCCCTGTAACTGGAACCTCTATCCCTGAAGACCTTCTCGTACACCTGAACAGCTTTCTAGAGTCTACCATTAAACCATTGGTGCACAAAGCATTAACCGCTCGCGCACAAGACTCTGGAAGTACCCAAGCTACTCAAGATGTACCCACCAAACCTCAAACCACTGAGCCCTAACTATTTCCATTCCCATTTCCCAACCTTTAACCATAGTAAACCAACAACCATCCACATCAAGGGGGACCCAAGATATAGAACGAGTGTCCTCCCCTACAACGACCAAACCCAACCTAAAAACCGTACCCTTCGATAACCTTGTAGCTGAGGTTTTCGATCATATCCTAGTCATGGATGAAGTCAACCTTACCCCATTTCAAAAAGCCCTTCTCCATGCTCTGGATATACATAACACATTCCGTGAGAGTCTCCGCGGCAGCAAACGTTCGCATGAGCATCCCGATGATTCAGATTCTCATGAGGGGGAGAACGAGCGTCAGCGGATACTTGAGCATGTTGCTTCTACCAGCCAAGCCCCACATCCAAACCAACCCTCCTCCTCTACCAATCAACAACCAACTACTTCAGCCAGCCAAAACAGATCCTTAGCCATATCTTCTAGCATGGTCGAGCTAGAACAAAAACATTCTGAGGCACATCTCCTATAGATGTTGACCAAGGAGGGAATGGAAGTCCTGATGTTGTTACCTCGAGTACATCATTATATTCAGGCCATCAGCTAGAACCTAGTTCGAAAATGATGACAACGGGCAATCCTTGTGATCCCGGTGTTACTTGTGACAGGTTATCACCACAACATCAACAAGCTCCCTCTAACCCCTCTGGTGATCAGATGCAAGATGAACTTGAAGATATTCTCGTTCATGATAAGTGGCCTCGCAAATGGACAAAGTGAGATGATCTTAGAGTGGAAGCTGAGCAATATGATATGTGTCAAAGCTGTCATCTCAGAGAGCTTCTTGCCAAGAGTGCTGCAGAAATAATTGGACTTGATGGAGATGAACTCAAGGAAGGGGAGAACCACAAAGAAAATTCCAAGGAGCCGGAATCAGTCACCAAACAAAAACCAACTAAAGAGGCCTTGAAAATTGTCAGAATCAAAGCCCCCTTTCTAGAAGAAATCCGAGAGCAAATATGGCGTCAACCAGAGAAGATCAAGAAATTCAGTGAACTAAAGATTCGCAGTCTCAATCATCTCAAAGGAAAATACAGAGGCGGAAATCTATACATGCTAGGACACAGATCCACAGGAGAACAATGTCAGATTCTGAATCATAATCTTGAAACAAGCAGATGTCCTATATGGAAAATCCTAGATGTAACAGAAGATTACTTAGAAACAATCGGGTTCTCTGTATTTCGCCTGCTACGCACTGATGGATCGGAGTTCACCTGTCAAGAGAATGACTTTTTCCTACTTCACATGGATGATATCTACCAGATGTTCATGGCATGCAGGGAAGTCCCAGTCCATAGAAACAGACTTGCTAAAGAGGGCTTAAAGGCTGTCAAAAGATTCATGACAAGACAAGTTCGATACTACGCCTCCCATGATCTCCAGATGGCCCTAGAACACAACTACTCAAAGGCAAATCTCACACAACCAGACTTGAACAGACCTGGACTTGAACCTTTCGCAGCATATCACATCTTTGACAATCCGGTCTCAGTCATCTATCTGAATCACAACGAAGAGAAGCGCCTGATGTTTGTTGATGAAATTCACAAATACTGGACTCTGAAGATCATTCGGGAACAACTACAACCAAGAAAAGAAGAACTTGATAAGAAATCGACAGAGGCCTCCAAAGATGAACTTAAGGAACTACGGCTGTGTTTGGTAATTAGCGTTTCCGCTAGAAATTGGAGGGTTTGACCAATTTAGCTGTTTGAAAGACTAGAAACGCCGTTCTTTTTACGTTTGGTAAAGAGAGGTTTTGCTCAGCGTGTTGAATGAAATCCGCCAAAACCAAATCGCTGCAACTAGGAGCGTTTACACTTTGGCATTTTCAATTAATTATTGGATTGCCAAACCTGTCCTCTCTTCTTCCTCTTCTTCTATTTTGTTTTCCGCTGCATATGTTGAAGGTCTGCTACCCTCTGAGTCGTCGGAAGTTAGAACCTCTTTAGATGTTCTAAAACTCGCTATTGCTCTATATTTTTGGTGTCTAATAAAGAATCACATCTGACTCTACTTGCATTTGATTGGATTTTTGTAGTCCAAACTATATATGACTAACCTACGCCGCATATGATAATGCTAATTGTTGTTTGAGTTCTAGTAACTCATATGAAAGTCGGTTAGGAATAAAAATAAAACATATGATAAGGATTCAACAGAGATTGATGGCAGAGAGATGGTTCATGAAATTACTAGTTTTATTTGGACTCAAATGTTCCATTCATCAATTAGATTGATATGCTTTTGTATTGAGTTAATGTGTAGGTTGAACTTTTTACCAATTCCGTAGTAATACATCAATAGCATTATTAAAAAAATGAATATTAAAATTTATTCATGCATGTCCTCATGTGTCTTTTTACCTGGTAACCGCTTTAAACAAACAGCCAAGTTACCAAACATTTTTTTGCAACCCGCCAAATTAATCCGCTGGTCAAATCCGCTGATTCAATCCACTATTTTCAATCCGCTAACAATATCCGCTAACCGCTGATTGCCAAACATGGTCTACAAAGAGTTGACAAGATTCTGACAGCAATCGAGAAACAACTGACAGAAGAAGATCACTCAGAAATTATGAGCATGCACTCAATCTCAGAAAACATTATTATAAAGCTCAGAAGTGAAGAGAAGAAGAAGCAAGACGGCACTTGATCACAAAGGGGATTGTTGAGGAACATATTTATTGTGATCAAGTTTGTCAAATGTCTTGCTATTTGTTTAGAATAGTTTTACATTAAATAAGCATTTAATATTATGTAATAAATAACCTTGTAAGGGAATAAGGCCCAAAAAGGCCTTAGGCCCAAACTTCTAGGTTACCATTTCGGCACCTGTACGTACGCCTATAAATATGCGTACATGTGGTACATGACCAAATAATCAGCAATATAATCTGCGTTATAATCAGCAACAGAGTTTTCGAATCAGCCTTTTGCTTTTCTAGCTTCTCGATAGTATAGAGTAAGAATTTCTTCTGTTCAAATTATTTCTCGATCATTATTAAGAATCATTCTCCATATTATCGCAAATACATTTTAGCTGCTCGTTCTTCTCATTGTTTGGGACCAACATACGTTCCCGGGCCGTATCCGCAATTTTTAAAAGTTTACATTTTTGGTAATTATTTTAAAAATTCGGATACTCGTATCCTGACGGATACACGTATCGCCTTTTCAAAAAAATCTTAAAAAAATGTTTAAAAAAACACTCAAAATTTACATAATAAAATTCTTAAAAAAGAAAAGCTAAAAATAATTTTACCTTGCTTTTATGTGGTACACAACTAATGAACCTATTTCTAATGCACATGTCCTCCTATCTCTAATTCTAATTAACACTAGAAATTAATAGCTCCAAATATGTATTAGAACTTTTAAAATATTATTTTCTATCTTCATTATTCTAGAACTTTGAGTAATTGCATTTTTAATTTCAAAAATGTAGTTGTTTGACTTATTTCTCATTTTAAACTAATGACTTATTGACTATATTTATATTTTGAGATGCACTAGTGTATATGAGATAAAATATGAATTTATTTCTAAGTATCTTGAAAATGTAAAATGCTTGAATGTCATGAATAAGTAGACGCCAGAAGATAATATTTTTGTATTTTTTCAAAAAAAAAATGTATTTTTAATATTTATAAATACGCCCCCATAACTTTCAAAATTTATAAGTATGGCCCCATATCTGTATCCTACTTTTTTTTTGTTTTGTCGTATTCATGTACCTGTTTCCGCAGCCTTTAAATTGCAAATAATCGTGTCCACATCGTTTTATTTTAATACGGTTTTTCCTGAATTGTATAAATCCAAACAAACTCAAAAAATGAATCTTTATATATATATATATATATATATATATATATATATATATATATATATATAAAGGGAATATGGTGGAAATCCAAATAGAAATCTTTTTTTTTTCATCACACGATAATAAAAGACATGAGCTGTTGAAATGAAAGTACAAAAGATAAGGTGAGAAAAAGAAGGATGAGACTTATTCACGCCAAATATAACCGTGGATCCAAAAGAAGTCTCGAGAAGCAAAAATTCTATGCCCGTTTAGACTGATACCTAGTTTGCACAGTCTTAATCGAAGAGGCGTTGCGTTTTTTGTCCTTCCTGGAGACAACTGAAGTGAAACCATCTTCTTCCTCTTGTTTGGGTTCTAGAAGTGCATTCTTGTAAATAGGAGATTCTTTGTAGATAGGGTGATCATTGAGTAGTTTATGCTTCAGAATTTGGTGTGGTCCTGAGTCGCGCAGAAGCTCCTTAAAATTTTTCCGTGTGAGACCTAGAGTACCTGGGGCCACTTTCTGCAGAATCGAGTAAACAAATTTTTCTGTAGCGGATCGGTCTGAGTATTTTTCTGCTAGGTAATCTGCTGCAGCATCGAAAATAAAATATAGACCTACCCCATCATTATCAAGAGCGTGCATGAATTCTTCTATACTTTCAACGCCAACTTTCGAAATTGCTCTATTAACCATTCCTTCCTCTATGGTATTAGCAAAAAATTCCTGCAAGAGAAGAAATTCAGTGGAAGAAGAGTTGGATAGGGTATTTTTTTGTTCAGAAACCTTGTCAGAATCATCCATGTGCGTCTTCTTCAAAACCTTAGAAAAATCTTGATGTTGGTCCCATTTATCAGTTAATTCCCGAATTGCACCATCAATCTCTAGCAAAGAAGACTGTATATGTTTGAACTGATCATCCATAACCAAAATTGGTGTGACCTTTTCAGATTGATATGAAACCTCCCAAGTTAAGTTACCAATATCCGATTGAAACAAAAAGTCAGAGATGGAGAAATCAGCATTATTGGGATTTGTTCTATTCATTTGTAGTTCATCCAAACTCTTTTCCTTTCGAGTTTCAAATTGACATGTCAGATTAGGATTTTCTCTTTCAATTTCTTTCAAGATGTTAATAGTTTGAGAGATTTTGGACTCAAAAAGAGAGAAACCTGACCTTTTCTGACCTTCTGGAATGCACAACGAGGTAACAGAATTCCCAATTTCCATAATCCGAACAAACCGTCCACAATAATTGTGTTCATAAGACAATTTAATTGATCTAGCATTCTCAAATCGAGTGAATGACCAATTCCCTGTTCCAACCGTCAGTAAAGAATCCCTAAGCCATATAGTTGTTTCAAGATTGAATAGAATTGAAGAGCAAAAATCCTTCTTTGTTTCAGAGATTTGTAAAGAGGAATTAATGAGTAGAAAAGAGAAAAGTTTGCTTTCAACCTTAACAGAATCAACCAAACCTCTATTTCTGGCAAAACCCTCGTTGTTGGTGCCCTGTAGCAAATGTGGTCTGAAAACGTTTTGGGAAAACTTGGGTTTTCTACCTTGGAACCCCCGAACAAGTGCTGCGGATGTATCACCCCAGTAGTCAGCGGACTGGCGCCGCTGTAGTTCCTCCTCCTGAATGAGCCCAACTGTAACGTCCTTGTAGCTAGCGGACGAGCGAGGCCGGAAACCTTGCCGCCGGAGAATCCCACCTGAAACGTTGCCCCTGTTTGTGGCGGAAGACCGCAGTTGTTTCCATCTGATAGGCGCAGAGTTGGCCCTGAAATCGTCGGACGAGTACGGTTCTTTGCACCGGAGGATTCCATCTCTGTTGCCGTACACCCCTACCCTATCGCTGTGAGTTATTCCTTCAACGATTCCCCATCTCGCTGCGTCGAGATCTTCATTTTCCCATGGCGATCGAGATCGCCGTACATCCCTGCCCATTTCCCCATGGCGATCGAGATCGCCGTACATCCCTGCCCATTTCCCTTTGATTCTCCAAATAGAAATCTATTTGGAGCCAAAAGAAGTGAAAAATTGTTGTCACTATTAATGAAACATCTATTGTTTTATATAGTAAAGCTGAGTTATAAAATGCATATGTGTCATTCATTGATTGGATAACAAACATAATTATAACATTAATTTAATAACAACAACCCGTTAGGAGAAAAAATAGTAAACTCAATTGGACTAGATCTCTTCTATGCTTTTACTACGATAGGAGAAAAAATAGTAAACTCAATTGGACTAGATCTCTTCTATGCTTTTACTACTTACATAGTATCAATTTATAATTCAAAGTTTTAGATACAATCAAAAGCAGAAGAAGCTGAAAGTAACACTTCAATCTATACAATAGGATACTTTGCAGCTCTTTTATATAGAGACAATTTGTCAACACAGTTTTTCGGCTTATCAGGCTTATCAACCAACTTTATCACCAAACACATGACTTTTGCTTTCGCACACTGAATTGTGTAATAAGAAGAAAAAGTAAGGTTAAAGTTACTTTTCTGCCTGTATTGGCTGAAGTTACTGTAGCTGACCATTGTAGTTGTTTTTACATTTTTTTCTTTATTTTATTAATAAAATATATTTTAAAAATAATTTTTTCTTAAATCAGCAGAATCAGCCAATGCAGCCACTTCAGCTAAAACTTCCTAAATTTTAGCAGAATCAGCCAAAACAGTCAATTTTTGTGCTACCAAACGGACTCATAATATGTCCGTCACTTTCATTCAACCCATTATTTATACGTATTACTATTACTATTGAAAATTAACCAAACATTTATAACTCTATATATGCAAATGATGAAACATATAAAATCAATATAGAACATAATTACATAAAAAAATTAAAAATTATATCTAAATGTGCAAACCCTTTATACAAATGATATAGAATTGATATACGTTTGATACTTTGATTAATTGGTACGAAGATCCTAAGGTTAGAGTTTATTTTTAATTTAACTATCTATTATTTTATATAGTAATAAAACTGAGTTATAAACCAATGATGTGTGTCAATTTGTGATTGGTTACTTAAAATTTGATTATCACTCTTACATTAAAACATTTAATTAATTCTCCAAATGCAAGTTCACATGGTCCATGAGTAGCTATTCACCTTAATTAGGTCAATTCATTTGGAGAAAGGGGTGGAGAAAAAATCTCTAAATTTTAAAGTTATAACTTTTTAATTTGTACTCCAATTTTTATAAAAAATATATCGAAATTCGTAACTTTTTATGACCTTTCATATAACACCAATATTGCATATGTAAAAGTAAAAATTATGAAGATCCAATTAATGAAGAATTTAAAGCCTAGAACTTTTTTTGTCAATAAAATCCAAAATTGTTTCTAAGTATATTAAAATCTTAAAATTAAGATTTCATAATTAATTTTTACATTTTTGAGTTAATTTAGAAATTTAAAACACCAGATTTCTTACTATCTATTGTTCTATTTAGTAAACATGAATTATGAAATGCTACATGTAACTCTCTTATTGATGGATCAAGGGCCTCTGCCTTGCTTCGGCAGGCAAGGAGAGTGTCTGACCATTTTAAACCTTTAGATCAAAAAATTAAGGGTAGAAGATGAAGGGACCATTTTTGTTCACACATCTCAATACCCTAGATTAAATCAAAGCCCTCTATTAATGTAAGGCACTATGCCTTAAGGCAGAGAATCCTAACCCTTATTGGTTTGGCGTTATAAATATTAACATTACTTTAATTTTACAATCATTGTCCTACTCATTACATGATGCAACTGCTCATATAATATAAAAAATATTTCATACTTTTACATTACAACATCTAATTAATTTGTAACATCTACATGATGTCATTTCAAACATCATGTATTCTCTGGGTTGTGCATTAAATCGTACTGTAAATTATATTTCAAATAATACTTTGATTATTATATGCATGATCACATTTAGTTTATACCGTGAGTAAATACATTATGATCTGAAAACATGATAACAAAATGCATATAATATAAACACAGTCAAAATCTTCAAAGTAAAATGAGGAAGCGGTCCAGCCGATCGCCGACTCAGACTTCCTTACGGGAGGTCTCGGGTTCGAAACTCAATGGAGTGAGTTTCACCCTTGATTACTCCAGGCCCCCCTCCCCCAGATGTCACCTGCAATAAAAAAAGAAAAAAAGAAAAAAAAGAAAAAAAGAAAAAAATCTTCACATTAAAATAAAATTTCATGCATAACACTTTTATTATTCTTCAATTATGCACAACTACAAGAATATCAGTAATGTACTCTATCATCCCAACGAAACCTAACGAAACGTGGTTCCAACGGGAATAGGTTGGGATTGCAACACATGTTGCAGTGCAATACTGTAGTTGCTTTCTGTTGTGCAACCACATCGGGCCGCAATGGAGACTCGGTTTCAATTCATGGGGGAAAATCTACTACGTAACCCAACAAACTGTAACGTGGCCACAACGCATACCGCTGATACGGGGCCATATTGGATCCTATCAAGACATCAAAACTAAATATTTTCTTATTTCGTTTGAACGTAAAATTAAATTACATCGCATCGGCGGCAATAGCCACAACCACAGTGACCACAATCGCAATGTTACCGCTATAAAAAACCGTGATATAGACCGAAGAGTAAATATATAACATATGATGACGGATAATTAATTATATAGTCATTTAACATATAAAAATTTATTTGTTTTGTGGTAATTGGTAAGATCATAGTAAAAATGCACTATATTAAAATTTGTATCCTATGAATTATTCACAATAAATATTACGGACAATTACTTTTTATTGTAACTCATATCAAATCGACGTGCCGCTACTGGGGCAATGCCCTGGGCTATTACTTAAAAATTGTTGTCACTATTAATGAAACATTACTTAATGAAGCCATATTAAGTGTCAACCTAATTAATTGTTGTAAGTTACAAATAAAACTTTAGAAAGTTGTTGTCACTATTAATGAAGCATTACTTAGTGAACCCATATTAAGTGCCAACCTAATGAATTGTGGTAATTTATAAATAAAACTTTATAAAATTATATTGAGCATAAATACATTAAATATTAAAAATATATTAGAAAAATACTAAAAGACACATATACATAATTAATTAAGAGACATAATATAATAAAGTTAAAAATGAAATGTTCTAATTTCATAATATAAAATAGAGTATTACATTATGTTTGGATACAAATATTATGTAAATGACAATGATAATACTCAGTACCCCATTAAATGTGTTCAGAATTCACTTACATGTGGAATATAAATGAAGTAAAAATTACTTTGTATGTGATTCAGTTTTTTACAAATTAGTTGAGAACAATAATTTACCTACACATTTATTAGTTTAAATGGAAATGACAATTTTGGTTGGGGCAGTTGCAAAAATAAAGTTAGCACAATTTAACGAGATGAGGGGGTCATTGTTTTTTATAATTAGCTGCAACAAAAAATACAAAAATTCAATTATTTAATTCTGCTATAACTATTTATTAGTAAATAAGTAACTATTTTAAAAATTCGTTGAAATCATAATTTTAAATAATGTTTCCCAATTTTGAAAAGATTTTTAGCATTTCCAATTTTGTGTACGAGTCAAATTGGTTCAATGATATTGGATTATACAATTTTACGATTCAACTCGCGATGTTAACAACATTGATATGTAGTTCTTATAAAACATACAGTGATTTTAACAATCTTGATCTGTAGCTTTTATAAAACATATATTGAGATGAATCAAGAGATATTATATATGGAGTATAAAATAAATATTTTCACTTTTTAGATGGAATATATTTAGAAACTTTAAAACACAACAAGCACGAAATTAAAAAGTAATGTCATGTGTTGAATAATCATCATAATTATATTATAAATAAATAATACTACATATGAGATTGTAATATGATAACAATTGTTATCATCTAAAAAAACAATTGTTATCATCTTCATTAGACAAGATTTGTTAGGGATGAAAGGATACTTATTTTATAGTTTTATGCTAATTGGTGTATGTCCAACGGACTAACAATTATCATACATGTATTCTAATATAATTTTGTATCATGTTTTTATTTTTTTCTACAATAAATATGTATATACACATTACTCATGAAATAAATTCTTTGTAAAAAAAATTGATTTCATTTGTTCTCCGTGCAAGGCACGGGTGGATCGACTAGTTACTTATGGATAAAATATACTTGGTAGATTCTATGGTACCCATAAGGTACCGTACCCTTGTCCATATGGACCAATGAAAATGTTGCAGTTGAATTATTTAAATCAAAATTAAAAATGATATCATGATGAGGACCAATCAAGTGAATGGTAAGTACGGTACCCCATTTTTTAAACGGGTACCGGAGTGTTAGTAGGCTAATTTGTTCAGAAATGGTCTGGCGAAGGGTTATTATTAGGTGGGAAAGTACAAGTGAAGCTCATAAGAATGAGAGCCTCCGGATTGGGAGTGGTAAGACAAAAAGCGTAGTTGAGGGAGGATGCAGTATTTAGGGGCGTCTTCTTTCTTTTACGAGTATTTGTATTTGTATGTGTATGTGTATCTGTATGTATATATACTACTAGTCATCCCAAAGCAGAAAGCGACCTCAGGGAAATAGACACGCAAAGTAAGTCTCAGAGGCAGTGTGATCATGGGTAACACCCTCCGAACTCTCGCCCCCAACTCCGAGCGACCCCAAGATACCCAACCCGCCGCTCTGGACCTGGAATCGCAAGCTCAAAACGGGCCCTTCACATGCGAAATCTGCGTCGAGCCAATGATCTTGCCCAGAAAATTCAAGAACAGGACCATCTGCTCTCACCCATTCTGCACTGACTGTATCGTCAAGTACATCTCCGTCAAGCTCGAAGACAACGCCGCCACAATTCAGTGTCCTGCTCTGGATTGCTCCGAATTTCTCGACCCCATTTCATGCCGGACCCTACTTGCCCCC